TTGTAAGTAAGAAGATAAAAAATGAATTGATTTTTTTTTTTTTTTTTTTTCTCTTTCAGGCTTCTTCGCACTTCTGGACCAAAATGGCTCGCAGTGGTTCACTTTGGCACACGGCAGGAATCGACGCCATGGAAAAAGCGGGGGCTCAGAAGTGCTGGTAGTTAAATGTTTTTTTTTTTTTTTTTTTTTTTAATAATGGACTCCGACGTACTCGTGGGGAGCAGCACGTGCCGGGAACCGGGCCCAGCGTCCCATATGAAATGTACAACATACTTAGAACACTTGGAACATTTGGAAAAGCTTTACMCCCCCCCCCCCCCYCCTCCYCCTCCCCCCCCCCCCGGCAGCATTGATTATACCCTGGATGCCAGGGGATTGACTGAGCAAGGCACTCTCTGAGAACAGGCACTTGGCAGACAGGGGAGAAAAAACAAAACCGTCTGCCTCTTCATCCTTCGTCACAGTGCTGGATTCCACAGGACAGAGATAGCAGACATCAACCCATCTGCCCACCTCCTTTTTCTTTAGCGCGAGATCATTCCGCCAGCATTGATTGCCCCAGGTTATGCAGGGCAATTAAGCGAGCGCTTAGAAAGGATGTGGAGATAGATGTGCCTCTTCACCCCTCGAACATGGCACCTCTTCTAGCCTGGGTGTATCTAGCGTCCTCAAGTTCCATCCCCATGAGTGTGTAGATGCTAGATACTAGATAGTATATTCTGCAAAAAGAATCAGAAAAAGAAAAAGAAAAAGAAAAAAAGCAAAAATATGAAGTATTATGAAGTTAATATGAACCCATTAACAACAAGTTAACAACAACAAAAAAAAAAAGAAAAAAAAAAGAGAGAGAGAGAGAGAAAAAAACTTCAAAAATAAAAAGGGATTTTTTTTAGAAAAGAAAAGAAAATAAAAAGCAACAAAGACAAAAAGTAAACAATCCGAATAAGTTAATAACTAATAATAAATAGGATTCTGCTTAATTAATGAATTAGATTTATATGTAGTCTCCTCCAGGGAGAGGGGGTTAGGTGGGAAAGGGTCAGGAAAATCAGATGGAGGCCTCATGGGGAAGGAGGAGGGTGCAACGGTGGTCCACTCTTTGAATACTAAAAGGTAGTCCCTGGGTGGGCCCTGTCTCACCAAGTCAGCCTGGTTAGCCCCCGCATTGAACCCGAGCTGTGGTAACAACTAAGTCTCCTCCAGGGAGAGGGGGTAAGGTGGGAAAGGGTCAGGAAAATCAGATGGACGTCTCGCAGTCTGCCGAGACAAGAGAACTTGCTTTATAACCTACTTTATTCCTGGCCTCACCATTGGGGGGTGTAAAATGTTCTCTCCCTTTCTCACAGCAGCATTCCGACGATTCCAAATTGTTCGTCCATACAATGGCGGTTGAGCAGTTTCATTTCTGGCCTCACCATTGGGGGGTTTAAAATGTTCTCTCCCCTTCTCACAGCAGCAAGCAGCATTCTGATGATTCCAAATTGTCCGTCCATACAATGGCGGCTCGAGCGGTTTCTTCTGGATGGAATTTTGATATGACCCTGAGGCAAAAGTTGCTCAGTTTACATTTCTACATAACATAGTTTTTTTTTCCAGATTTTTTGG